CACTCTTTTTGTCCAGGTTCACTGCAACCTCTGCTTCCCGGGTTCAAGTGATTCGCCTGCCTCAGCCTTCGAGTAGCTGGGATCACAGGTGTGCACCACCATGCCTGGATATTTTTTGTATTTTTAGTAGAGATGCGGTTTCACCATGTTGGCCAGGCTGGTCTTGAACTCCTGACCTCAGGTGATCCGCCTACCTTGGCCTCCCAAAGTGCTGGGATTACAGGCATCAGCCACCATGCACAGCCAAGTCAGTTCTCTTAAAGAATGAAACAATAATAGTCATATTTATCAATTATTTCTCTCTTCTAGTGCTGCTATTTCTGTTTGAATTTGTAATCCTTTCAGCTTCAAGAATTTAGGATTTCTCATAGCGTGGGAATGTGGGAAATAAATATTCTCAGCTTTTTGGTTGTCTGGCAAAATATGTAAGTAAATAGATACATAGTTGAATACCAGCCTGGCCAACATGGTGAAACCTCTCTCTACTAAAAATACAAAAAGTTAATCAGGTGTAGTGGTATGTGTCTGAAATCCCACTATTTGGGAGGCTGAGGCACGAGAATAACTTGAACCAGGGTATTTATGGATGTAGTTATTTTGAGATGGAGTTTCGCTCTGTCACCCAGGCTGGAGTTCAGTGGTATGATCTCAGTTCATTGCAACCTCTGCTCCTGGGTTCAAGCGATTCTCCTGCCTCAGCCTCCCAAGTAACTGGGACTACAGGTGTGTGCCACCATGCCCAGCTAATTTTTGTATTTTTAGTAGAGACGGGGTTTCATTATATTGGCCAGGCTGGTCTCAAACTCCTGACCTCGTGATCTGCCCACCTCAAGCCTCCCAAATTGCTGGGATTACAGGCGTGAGCCACAGTGCCTGGCCTATTTTCATTTTTTAAAGGTATATTTTTTGCTGGGTATAGAATTCTACGTTGGCATTTTCTCTCAACCTTTCACATTTGTTGTTTCAATTGTCCTCTAGTTTCTGCTGCTTGCTTTGTTGAGAAGTCAGCTGTCATTTTTCTTCCCTCAAGAGAATGTCTCTTTTTCTCTGCCTGCTTGTTGAATTTTCCTTTTATCTTTCCATTTTGGCAGATTGTTAATAATGTGCCTAGGCTGGGCACGGTGACTCACGCTTATAATCTCAGCACTTTGGGAAGCTGAGGGGGGTGGATCAACTGAAGTCAGTAATTAAAGACCAGCCTGACCAACATGGTGTAATCCTGTCCCTACCAAAAAGACAAAAACTGGCTGGGTATGGTAGTGGGTGCCTGTAATCGCAGCTACTCAGGAGGCTGAGGTGGGATAATTGCTTGAACCTGGGAGGTGGAGGCAGAGGTTGCAGTGAGCAGAGATCGCGCCATTGCACTCCAGCCTGAGCGACAGAGTAAGACTCCATCTCAAAAAAAAAAAAAAAAAAATTGTCTAAGCGTGGATGGATCTCTCTTGAGGTTCACTAAGCTTGCTGAATTTGTGGGTTAATGCCTCTCATTCGATTTGGGAAAATATCTTGGGCATCATTTCTTCAAAGATTGCTTCTATCCCATTCTGTCTTCCCTCTAGAATTTTCCTCCATTTTATTTATAGAAAAGTATTTTATTTTCCTCTATTTTATTAGCTATTTGAAGTCCTTGTCTGTTGTTATTAATTCTAATATATGAACTATCTCTTCTCTGAATCTCTATTGGCTACTCTATCTCTTGATTACCATTCATATCTTCCTGCTTCATCTCATATCCAGCCATTTGTGATAGCATGCTGGACATTATGAATGCTATAGTATAGAATTTCTGGGCCAGGCGCGGTGGCTCATGCTTTTAATCCCAGCACTGTGGGAGGCTGAGGCAGGCTGATCACGAGGTCAGGAGTTCAAGACTAGCCTGACCAACATGGTGAAACTCTGTCTCTACTAAATATACAAAACTTAGCCAGGTGTGGTGGCGCATGCCTGTAATTTCAGCTACTCAGGAGGCTGAGGCAGGAGGATTGCTTGAACCCAGGAGATAGAGGTTGCAGTGAGCTGAGATCATACCACTGTACTCCAGCCTAAGGGACAGAGTGAGACCGTCTCAAAAAAAAAAACAAGAATTACTGGGTTATATAATTGTTCTCTCAAGAGTCCTGATTGCTTCTTACATATCCAAGTCTCCTGTTTTATGGATACTATTTGTCCCCCATTTTCAGCAGGATTATATCCTTCCTATTCCTTGGCTCTCTGAGAGTTTTTGAGAGTTTTTTTTTTTTTTGAGATGGAGTTTTACTCTGTCGCCTAGGCTGCAGTGCAGTGGCATGATCTCAGCTCACTGCAACTTCTACCTCTCCAGTCCAAGCAATTCTCCTGTTTCGGCCTCCTGAGTAGCTGGGATTACCGGGGTGCTCCACCACTCCTGGCTACTTTTTGTATTTTTAGTAGAGAGGGGTTTCATCATGTTGGCCAGGCTGGTCTTGAACTCCCGACCTCAAGTGATCCGCCTACCTTAGCCACCCAAGTGCTGGGATTACAGGCGTTGGCCACCATGCCTGGCTGGCTCTTTGAGAGTTCTAAAGCACAAATCAACTTTTTTCTGGGTTTCTCTTCTGTCCGATTCAGTCTATTGATGGATTTTTGAGGTTTTCCTCTCATCTTTCGCTTTATAAATAATGCCACAACTAATATCCTTTTACAGACACATCCCTGTCCATTCTTTTAAGCATAACTATCCATAAATTCATTGAAGCAGAAATGCTGGGTCAAAATATATGCATTTTAGGCTGTTTTATAGCTTGTTTATATTCCCATCCATAGGCTTGAACAGGGTTCAGCAAACAACTCCTGCAGAGGGCCAGAAAGTATAGAGGGACCTATAGTCTCTGTTGCAATTACTCAACTTTGCCATCCTAGTGTGAAAAGCAGCCACTGGCAATACATGAATAAATGGTGTGGCTGTTTCAATAAAACTTTATGTATGAAAACGAAGAGTAGACTGGATTTGGCCCATGTCTTGTGGTTTGTTGATCTATAGGTTAGAGAATGCTTAAATACACACATCCTTATCAATACTGTGTATTTATCCTTTTTTTTTTTCTTGGTAAGAGATGGGGGTCTCACTTTGTTACCCAGGCTACAGTGCAGTATTGTAGTCATAGGTCTCTGCTGCCTTGAACTCCAGGCTCAAGGGTCAGTTGGAACTATAGTTGGGACTACAGGTGTGCATCATTTTTCAAACCTTTGATATTTGCTAATCAAATGGATGACAACAGTATACTCACTTTTTGTTGAATTTTTTTTTTTTGATTATGAGGGAGAATACATTTTTTTGAGACAGAGTTTCACTCTTGTTGCTCAAGCTAGAGTGAGTGGTGTGATTTTGGCTCACTGCAAACTCTGCCTCCTGGGTTCAAGCGATTCTCCTACCTCAGCCTCCCGAGTAGCTGAGATTACAGGCAGCGCATGCCTATGATCCCAGCTACTTGAGAGGTTTAAGCAGGAGAATAGCTTGAACCCAGGAGACAGAGGTTATGGTAAGCTGAGATTGCACCACTGCATTCCAGCCTGGGCAACAAGAGTCAAACTCCGTCCCAAAAAAAAAAAAAAAGGAGTAAGTAGTAATCTAAACAGCCAATCTGTCTCTGCTTATACAGCCTCCAGTCCATTCTACCTTCTATAATGTGACAGAGTGACTTTGGCCACATATATATGTATGCCTCTTCTAAGACCCAGATCAAGTGTTATCTCATTTATTTATGAATGAATTAATGAATGGCAGAGTCTCGCTCTGTTGCCCAGGCTGCAGTGCAGTGGCACCATCTTGGCTCACTGAAACCTCTGCCTCCTGGCTTCAAACAATTCTCCTGCCTCAGCCTCGGGAGTAGCTGGGATTACAGGCATGCACCACCACGCCCAGCTAATTTTTATTTTTTAGTGGAGATGTGGTTTCGTCATGTTGGCTGGGCTGTTCTCAAACTCCTGGTGTCAAGTGATGCACCTGCGTCAGCATCCCAAAGAGCAGGGATTACAGGTGTGAGCCACCATGCCTGGCCTCATGTCCATTATTAAGCCTTTCCTGATATCAACTCACCTGGACAAAATTCATTTTTGTGTCTCCAATGTCTTCTGTATAAACTTCTACCAAAGCACTCAACACTTTTTGCACAGACTTGATTTCACATCAGTCTCCTTTTAATGTGCTACCAGAGTGTCTGGCAAATAGAATATGACTGTGTGACAACTAAATGAGAGAGCTTTAAAATAGGAAATTCTAAAGTTGTAGACTTGATAAGCAGACAATTATTTTCACACGGTAGCTGTAATTGAAGAAAAATTTAAGTACATAAATATTATTTGGGAGAAACTGCAGGTTTCTACAATGAAGGATTATTTGTTGACTTTACCAAGGTCCTTAAAGTTTGTTGTTCTTTTAAGATTAAGAGACTGTAAGAAAACACAGCACTTCCCAGAACAAGAGGAAGAGCAGCCCGAAATCTGTCTATAAAGCACATATGGTGCATCACAGAAAATCCATACTTACATGATTGCAGTCTGAAGAAATTTCATTTTCAGGCTAGAAAAAAAAAAGAGAGAGATGATGTAAAAAAAAAAATATATAGAACCTTTCAAGTTTTCAAACACCACCAAAATAAACTCAAAACAAGAAATATGAATATTCAACCAAATGTTTCTTCAACGTAAGCAGTAAAATGGAGCTTGCATATCTTTCAGGCTGTTGGGGAAAAATGTACCAGAAAAGTACGAGACTTAATCCCCTCCCAATCAATGGTGCAATGTGAAGATGGGGAGAATGGAGCAGAATGTGCTAAAGCAATAAATAAAGCAACAATTACATAAGGATCCTTACAAGATACTTTATAATTCAGGTTTATTAAAAAATGCACAGATGGTCCCTCAATTTTTTTTGGGGGGGGGCAGGACAGGGTCTCATTCTGTCACCCATGCTGCCATGCAGTGGTGCGATCATCGCTCACTGCAGCCTCAGCCTCCGAGGCTCAGGTGATCCTCTGGCCTCAGCCTCCTGAGTAGCTGGGACTACAGGCACAATGCCACCACACCCAGCTAATTTTTTTGGCATTATTTATAGAGATGGAGTTTCACCATGTTGCCCAAGCTGGTGTCAAACTCTGGGCTCAAGTGATCTACCCACCTCAGCTTCCCAAACAGCTGGGATTACAGGCATGAATTACTGTGCCCAGCCCCTATCAATGATTTTTAAATTGGCCTAATGTCACCATTGGGGAAGCTACATAATAGGTACATAAGACCTCTAGGTACTGTTTTTGAAAATTCCTGTGATTCTGTAATTAAAAACAAAAAGTTTTAAAAAACATTTAGAAACACGTTCCTATGATACATTTGTTTTGTAAAGCCAGATACACATACCAGGGATAAAATGAACTTTGAATTCCATGAAAGAAAAAAGAGTGGACTAGGTTTTACATAATATTACATAGCTTTGCAATACATATCCTCCTTTAGTTTCCTTGTTTTTGTGTCTTCAAAGGAGACACAACTGCAATAAAGCACACTGTAATAAAGCACCATTTCTTTGACGCAGTGGCTCACGCCTGTAATCCCAGCACTTTGGGAGGCTGAGGCGGGTAGATTACTTGAGGTCAGGAGTTCAAGACTAACCTGGCCAACATGGTGAAACCCCGTCTCTAGTAAAAATACAAAAATCATAGGCCGGGCGCGGTGGCTCAAGCCTGTAATCCCAGCACTTTGGGAGGCCGAGGCGGGTGGATCACGAGGTTAAGAGATCGAGACCATCCTGGTCAACATGGTGAAACCCCGTCTCTACTAAAAACACAAAAAATTAGCTGGGCACGGTGGCGCGTGCCTGTAATCCCAGCTACTCAGGAGGCTGAGGCAGGAGAATTGCCTGAACCCAGGAGGCGGAGGTTGTGGTGAGCCGAGATCGAGCCATTGCACTCCAGCCTGGGTAACATGAGTGAAACTCCGTCTCAAAAAAAAAAAAAAAAAAAAAAAACACCAAAAATTCAGCCGGGCATGGTGGCATGCACCTGAAGTCCCACCTACTCATGAGGCTGAAGCGGGAGAATTGCTTGAACCCAGGAAGCGGAGGTTACAGTGATCTGAGATTGCATCACTACACTTCAGCCTGGGCAACAGAGTGAGGTGAGACTCCACCTCAAAAAAGAAAAAAAAAAAAATGTACCATTTCCTTTGAGTTTCCATAGTATTCTAATCTGTCTAAATGAAGTGAATTCTGTGTGCCTATAGTAACCCAAATATTATCAATTTGGGTAGTAAAACATGCTATTTTAAAGATAAAAAGATGTTTTCTATTCAAGGATAAAGGTAAGGCAATAAAGAAAATAGAACAATTCAAGTAGACACACCCAGCATTACTTCAAAAAGAAAAAGGTTTTCCCTATAGAACTATTAATTCCACTGCAGAATATAGTAGGCATTAACAACATACAAACTCATATTTATACTTACAACATATATTAAGATTGACTTCAATTAGGTTGCTAGGTAATCATAAGATTACATTATATAACATAGTACTTCTGAACTTTCTCCCTACTTGTCTAAGAGGAGATACTTTAATGCCCTTCTGAGGTGCCTCAGAAATCAGCTTCCACACTTAGTTAACCTAGCTTAACTCTGTTCCCCCCACCTTAATTTGAAGTTTAACTTATATCTCTTAATAGTTTATTTACAAGACTTAGGCAGTTTTCTACGCTAGCCTTTTAAAATCTATCCTTTAAGTTTTCCCAATCAATTAGCAATTCCAGTTCTTTCTCAAACAAGGCATGGAAGGCAATTAATATCACAATCTTCTCTACTTACACTTATTCTACTAAACAACAATTTTCGATTAAAGTGGCATTCTTAAAAGAAATTCAGAGCATTGGAGAACTTCCAAAATAATGTAGTCAAATAAGATGTAAGCTCCCCATAAAAAGAAAAGTATTGTCACATTTACAGTCCACAGCACTATATTAGCAAATTACTGTTTTAATGGCTTGCTTCCCTATAGCGGGAGACTGAATTATTTATCTCAATTTTTCACTTGCATAGGATTTCACATCCAGATCCTCTGTCTTTTAAGTCTGTACTCCCTCCTGCTATAAACTGAGTATACACCCAGCTCTGCTGACCTTGAGCAAATCAAGATGGCAAAAGAGATGAAAAACAAGCACTGGAGTCCACATTTGCAGTTAATTGAGTTTCCATGGATTATGTCATTCCTTTCTAAGAGGTGCAGTACTGTGTGCTTGCTAATACTGTTAATGTAACATAATGTAATATAGGCCACTGACATGCTTGGGCCAATGGAGTTTTAGGAGACACAATATGAGCAGAGGCTTTTAAATGTGCCTGGGTGGTTTGGCCTGTACCCTTGACATTCCCCATGAGACCACGGAGGTATAAAAATGAGAGGCATGCGAAGCAGACCTGAACTTAACCCTTAACCTGCAGTCTGAAGCAAAGCCATCTCAAACAACCCATGGGCAAGAAAAACAAGCCCCAAGTCATTTTAAGCCCATGACATTTTTAGGGTGTCTGTTATGAAGAAAAAATGACTGATATATCTATCAAATAAATTAAAAATCTCAAAGCCTTTAAATCAGAATCTGTAACAGCTATGATCTGAAATTAGTCAATTACATTGGAAAGCAAACAGCACTACTGTACCTTTCATGAAGAAATGACATAATCCATGGAGATACAAAGCACAAATCTGGGCCAGGCATGGTGGCTCACACCTGTAATCCCAGCACTTTGGGAGGCCAAGGTGGGCGGATCACCTGAGGTCAGGAGTTTGAGACTAGCCTGACTAACATGGAGAAATCTCATCTCTACTAAAAATACCAAAAATTAGCAGGGTATGATGGTGCATGCCTGTAATCCCAGCTACTCTGGAGGCTGAGGCAGGATAACTGCTTGAACCCAGGAGGCAGAGGTTGCAGTGAGCTGAGATTATGCCATTAAACTCCAGCCTGGGCAACAAGAGGAAAACTCTGTTTCAAAAACAAACAAAACAAAACAAAAAACCCCACAAAGTGCAAATCTGGGACCAGGGTTTGTTTTTCATCTCTTTTGCTATCTCGATTCTTGATTGCAGATGACTATAAATGGATCTTATTTCTGCAGTCATTCATTTAATTTGGAGATGGGGTCTTGTTCTGTTGCCAGGCTTAAGGGCAGAAGCACCGTCACGGCTCAATACAGTCTCCACCTCTTGGACTTAAGTCATCCTCCTGCTTTAGCCTTCCCAGTAGCTGAGACTAAAGACATGTGCCATGAAGCCTGGCAAAGTTTTTAGAATTTTATTGTACAGACCAAATCTCCCTGTGTTGCCTAAGCTGATCTCAAACTTCTGGGCTCAAGTGATCCTCCTGCCTCAGCCTCCCAGTGCTGGGACTATAGGCATGAGCCAGTATGCTCAGCCTTTGCCTAGATTTAGTTTCTCTACCGAGAAAGAAAAGATGAAAAAGTAGAAATGCCATAAGAACAAGGTGATGATATTAGGTCTTTGAGATTCATGGAACCAATCACTATGAAGAATTGTTAAGCATAACTGTGAACAATTAATTTTGGAAATTTGGAAGGCTTTTTAGAATCCAAGAACATAGTGGTGGTTTGGAGGAACAGAACAGAGACTGCAAAATATAAAATATAAAGTAGTACTTTATACTACCCTGGGAATGGTGGGATCATCAATAATGTCAGCATAAATGAACTCGATAAAGTAAATAAAAATAAAAATAAAAAAAGAAAACACTATGCTTTGGCACTCCGTCATTTGATCAAGAACCAGTTAACAGAAATCTCAAGGAACGAAAACAGATGCGGGTGCTGATTCAGGTTCGGTTCTCACACTGCACCATTCTCATTATGTCCAATTAAACCACTTCATCAGATATAATACATCTATTTCCACAAAACTCTAAGTACAGATAGGCTCACTTGTCTTTAATCCTAGAAGATAAATAGCTTGAGGTATAATACCCAGAATTACTAAAATAAAACTGAGGATTTTTTTTCCTTTTTAGTAATAATTAGTGAAATAATGCTCTGAGATGATTCCAAGAAATTAACCAACAAGTATATACTGAATAATGATGATGAACTTGAAATTGTGCTAGGCATTGTTGCAGGATACAAAGATAAGACTCCATTTGGTCTCTAATCTCAAGTTGTTCACAATCCAGTTGTACAGTTAAAATAGTGAAATCAAACAAGCAAGAGGAGGGACTTGAGACAGGCCTAAAGAATTGGAAGAGTGATCTCCAAAAAGGAGTGAAGTGATTCCTCAAAGAAGAAGTTGCATGATCCCTTGGGGCTCAGGAAGAACATAACAGAGCTTCTGTTTTGAAAAAAGCTCATCCTTTATGTTTTAATGTATTTTTATAATGCATTTGACATTGGTGTAACTAATATTTTATGAGTATGTATCTACTGGGGGGATGCTTACTAATTTTTCATATGTTAGAAAGAACATGACCAAGACAGAGAAAAAAGAGATGAACTTCTTCTCATCATTATGATTCCTACCTCTACCTGCACTCTTCA